CCTCAGCTACTGTTAACTGAAGTCAGTATTTTATGAATACTTTTTGTTGTAAGGTTAGTTATTGAGCCCTCTGAAGTAAAAGTGGCTGTGTACTAGATGACTCTGGAGATGACATCTGAGCTCTAGCACACTGGCAAATGCTGAGAGATTATTAACCATTTGTAATCCAAGCACCAAGGTCCCAAGTGTGGTTTTGGCATAGACAAACTATCCTAGGTTTGACATCATAGGGGCTGTTTGTCTTGTTTAATGTTTTTAGTTGGGTATTTGAAAGAATTGCTTAGTACTTGAGTGCCCAAGAACTAGAGTGAGCTGACTTGCACCCAAAAGAATGGCTACAATTTCAACAGTTGGCCTGTTTGCAAATTTTAGTGAACTTCTGAGCAAATTGTAGCCAGGAATAAGACTCATGCAAGGAGTGACTCGGGGTGCAAAGAGCAATATTATGGGTATCATTGTTAGAAACAAGTGTCTGTTAACAATTCAGAAGTTTAAAGCAGCAGAGAGGATGGGAAAGAACTGAAAAAGAGAGCATGCAGATTAAAGCCTGACAGTCTTTGGTTCTAACTATTTAGATTTTGTTCTGAAATTCCTGAGTGTGGAAGCTCTCTCTCTTAGGCCACTTGATCCAAAGGTCTTGGGTAGAAGTTTCTCATTCTGAGATTGTCTTCTGGATGATTCTTAGGAATCCTCAATTTGGGTGTCTAGCTGGACAGTCTTCCAGTAACTTAAGGAAGTGGTCTGTCATTGTTATTGAGAGCTGTGGATCCAAGGAGTTTTACTGCAGAACATGGCAAGGCCATTTCCATGGGAGCTCAAGTGCAGTCATTCCCTAATGTTGCTTCAGAAATAGCCAGATACCTAATCTGAGAGCATGTAGAGCTGGTTAAGTATCTGGAAAGGGAAGATCATTGTTTACATCAGTGATAAGGTTGAACAGCTCTGGAAAATTATTACGTTAACTAGAATTATTACATCACATAATTTCTTTTTTTGTGATGGAAATAATTAAGATATAGTCTCTTAGCAACTTTGAAGTTTATAGTATACTGTGCTGTGCATAGATCTCCAGGATTTTTTTTTATCTTCGGGTTGTAAGTTTTATCCTTAAACAATACTTGCCCAGTCCCTGAGCCCCTGGTAACCACTCTTCTGCTTTCTCTATTTACAGGAGACTGCACATGTAAGTGATACTCTCTGTCTGATTTGTCTCACCTAGCATAGTGTCTTCAAGATCCACACGTGATCCGAGTTATCACAAGTGGCAGGATTTCCTTCTTTCTCGCGGCTGAATAACATTGATCCTTTTTAGGTGGCCCATTACCCATCTTCACTGGATGCTTGTAAAATCTGCCACTTGTCTCCACTTTTCTGAAATACCTAAATGTTGTGTCTTGATGTGGGTGGGCTTTCATTCCTGATGGGAACTCATTGAACCCTTGCAGTGTTACAAATCCTATCCTTCAGTTGCTGGAGTTTTCTTGAATTACTTTGTAAGTTTTCTGCCTCTCTTTTGTGTTCCTTTTTTTCTGAAACTCCTAATTATTTGGATTCCCTGGACTGGTTCTCTGATTTCTCTGTTTTTCTTTCACATTTCTCTGTGTTTGACTGTTGTTTCTTAGGCTCTCTCCTCAGTTTATCTTCTGCCTAGCCAGTTCTGCTTCCAGAGGGATCTTGTCCTCTCAGGTCTCAGCTTTGAGGATTTGACTCCGAAAATCCAGTTGGTGCTCAGCTTTCTATCAGCTTCTTCAGTTTTTTTGGATCCTTGTCATCTGTTACTGTTTGTCCACTTTTGTTCTAGTTTCCATATTTCTATGCCATCTTCTCTCCCATTTTTCTTCTTTACAAGTTTGTGCCTTTTCCATAGTCTTAGTAGGCTGTAGGAGGTGAGTCAAGTTTGATATGTGTTCAGTACTGTTTTACCAAAACACTACTCATTTTTGTAAGCACTCCTTTGCAGCCATTAACTTACCCCCACACCCCCATCTGTTAAAGGCAAGTGTTCATCATGGCTGTAACCCTCGTCATGTCATGTCATGTCACATGACACACTTTCTCTAGCTTTGTTTGCATATCTTTAAATGTAAATAATGTACTCTCGTCATCCTCATTTGTTTTGTACACTCCTTGAGGTGAGGCACACATACTCTGCATCCTTTGGAGGCAGCTGACGTAAAAGTCCTACTCCAACCCCTCCTCTGCAAGCAGGTGGATCTCAGGGCTGGCCGTGTGTTTCCATGACTTTACGCAGCTGCTGCTCATCTTTGCTCTTCTCCGAGCAGCCAGACCCTGCCTGTACTCAGTATTTTTGTTCATGCTGTTCCCCCTTCCTGGGGTGTCTCATGTAACTAGTCATTTCTTTCCCCAACCCCTCTTTCCTTTCCTGACAAGCTTCTTTAGTCTTAAGACCTTCTGCTTAAGCATACTCTTGTAGAAGCTTTCCTTCAACCCTTCAAGGTATAGCTGAACATCCCCTGTGCTTACGGCACTTTGTATAGAGCCCTGTACTGCAGTTTTTATTGATAGTCTGAATGCTATGACTGCATTGTGGCTCTTTTCTCTCTAGTGTGCCTTTGTGGTTAAAGAAGTGTGCTCCACACATCACCAAGTACCGTTATATTATGACGGTAATTAGGTGAGTTTTAAGAGGTGGTTGCCTTTTTGATAATTACACATCTTTTAAGGTTTTTTTTTTTAAAGTATTCTCCCATTTACCTTTATTTTTGATAACTTTTTTAAAAGATAAAACATGTAACTACTTGGGGTGAGGGAGAGAACTGATTGCAGATTCAAATTTTTTTAGTTCATTTTGAAGGAATTTTCACAAGGCGGTTTTTAAAGAAGATAAAGTCCAGAGGTGGTTGTTAAGGGGGTGAATGAGTTAGTCTTTGGGTTTTTTCCTTCCCCACTGCTCATTCTCTCCATAGAGGGCTCTGGTTTAGGAAGTCATCCTCAGCAGTAGATATAACAACCTGTTACACTCCTGGGTTGACCATCTGTTTAAATTAGTACCTTGCACATGAACTATCTAATCCCTGGTGGATTTATTCTGATCCCAATTTCATTTTGGTTTTGTGTCACTCTCTTTAATGTCCCCTTTAAGTTTTCAGACATCATTCAGACTTGATGAACATTAAGTACAGATATTCTTAGTGTATTTTTAATATAATGTGTGCTTTGCTGGAAAGTACTTGTAGATCTGATTGTCATAAAACAAATCTCTTCAGAAAACTAGTGTCATTGAGATTTGTTTTTGCAACTAAAAGTAATGTGTAAATATGTTATATAAGCAAAGATAAAGTCAAGCAAACTTAATAACTTAAAATAATAAAGTGTTAAATAAAATTAATTGATTTTCTAAGGAGTTACCCTTTTGTTCAGTCAAACCTTCAGTCTTTTCAGAACTCCAGCTCTATCACCCTGCCCTTGCTTTTAGTATTTGACCTCATTTCCAACATCAGAAAAATATGAAAGCCATCAGAATGAGAACTCCCTGGCTTTTGCCTCTGAACCCACCCCTCTGCACCTGTATCCTCCTTGGTCTTCCTGTTAGTGATGATGGAGAAGCATTTGAATCTTGCTTGCAGTCTAGTCCGTCCCCCCCCCCCCCC